CAGTCAGATTTGCATACAAACCCTGGTCCATGGTGCCACACTGTAAACAGAGAAAACTAACGTTACTATATGTGGCAACGAAAACAATGGATTTACTCCCTGATTTACAGCACAAGACAATAAAAAACAAGGGTAAATCTTGAAGTGTGGAATTTGACCTTCAGGTCGCATTGTGGTGCTAACCAGACTGTCCAGCAATTGAGGAAGTTCTACTTTCCTGCAGTACTACAGAGGCACCCTAACCACAACCAATATGGAAGGTCATTAGCCAGAGCAGCACAAGTGGACTACAGTAATATTTTACTATATCCTATGTTCACAGGGTATGAAGGAGAAAAACTACTATCCAACAAACCAAATAGTTTTCTGATAAATTTTCAAAGGAAATCCCATGTCCTACAACAGCCAGGGTCTAACAGAAATCTGAGGTGAAAGTACCACAGTCAGTTCTAGGAGTTTTTTAAGACTCTGTGTTAAGTGTAGAGCTCTATCAATGTTATCCATTGCAAAGACATTTTTCCTTTGAAACTGAACACATTTTTAATCTGAAAACTGTACATCTGAAAACTGCACATCTGAAAACTGCTTTTCTGTTCCTTACAGAAAAGCATTCACTAACTTAATGGACAAGTTTCAATCACAAATAAACTAAGCAAAATAAGTGGCAGTTAATTTTAGCATATTTGTGTTCAACTGAGGACCCAAAAGAGAAAGCTGCTTAATGCATATGAATGTGTAAACATCCACAAGTTTACTCAGGCATATTTGGCATCAGAGAAGTAAAGCAGTACTTCATAACATTTATCAAATATTTGGGTGATGTGAAAAGTATACCCAAGTAATAATTTTCATTCTGTTTTACTATATCATAAATAATGCCATGAATTACAGCATGAGCAAAATAACAGCATTCAAAACCCTACCAGTCGTTTTTTCATTATTGCCATGTCTTCAGTTTGAAATTATGTCATCATTCCAAATCCAAAAATGTTAAAAAAAAATCAAGAAAGTAATTTCATAATGAGAAATCAGATGATGAGAAAAGACAAATAAGCAAGGAAACAATTACTTGCTCTTTATGTCAGACCAATGAAAAAAATAAACCATGCCAGAGAAGAATTTCTTTGAATCTATCAAGCAGGAAGGATTCCAGCTGAACACTCATGGTACACTGAAATTCAAATGGTCCTTGATCTTAGACATTGCCCTGTCTAAAGAGAAAAGCAGTGATCTCTGAAGAAAAACAATGTTCCTCAAAACTGCAACTCCCATAGTATTCTAATATGGAAATATTTCATTAATATAAATCAGCCTTGGAAATGCAATGTCTGATGTAACTGTAACTACAGAGTAGTAGCCTTCCTGAAGATTCCTTCACATCGCATACTTCTCTCTGTTACTACTGAGTGGGTGAATAATCTGAGGATAAACGTACGTCTGCTACTACACAGACAGAACTTCTGATAATTGATCATAAGGACCCTATAAAAGAAAAATTCTTTTTTCTGGGAAGGAAACCAGTGACTAAGTCAAAGAATATATCCCGCCTATGTGAAGTGTACTCTAAAGCACCAACAACATCACCTCTGCAGTTAAAGAGCCAGAAGTCTGATCTTCCTAAGCACTTCTTATTGTTTTAGGTTCCTTTAGGTGTTAGGCTAGTGCAAGACAGGGCTTTATTAACCATGAACCATAAAGCCTTTTGAGAAAACCTCATGTAAAAGATTATCCCTCTCCCACGTATCTATACCTGAAAATTAGGGTTAGGATTGGGATATGGAAGCCAAGCAGATCGTGAATTTTCCTGGTATTTGAAGGGTCCATTAAAAGCCTGAGTTATGGCACTCAGATTGAAAACACAAACTGCTGATGCTGCTATGCTGTTCCTGCAAAAGAAACACAAATATTAACCTAAATAACAACATTAAGTCAACTTGCTGAAAAATAAATAGAAAAGGCAGTAACTCTTCAATCCTTCAAGTAATTAACCAAGCAGATAAGATTAGCCAGGAGATGATATCTCAAGAGAATGGTAGATGATGAGCTGATTTAGCACAGATATCACATTTAAAATATTTGTTGGCCTTACCAAGTAGCTGGTGTGGGAGAAACTTAGAATTTCCTATCTTCTGCTGCTGCTCTGATACCACAAGGCTATAGTACCACACATAATCACATGCACTAGGGACATCTCTTTTCTAGTTACAAAGTTCAGGATGATATTACTCTTAGGGTTCATTAATGTTTCTTCTTTATAACAGACATGAAACAAGATAAGGATTTATTCTAAACCTTATGGAACCCCAGACAGCTCCACAAAAATCCTGTCTTCCAAGAGATGTTGTACAGCAACAAGTATGCAAGTTCAGAAACCCATCAAGAAAAAACAACTTGGACTGCGTACAAGATATCTTGTTAAACAAAAAAACACAAATAAATGGCAGCCAGACAAAACAAAATTTCTGTGTTTGCCTTCAAAATGTCATATACATGGCAATAAAGTAATTCTGCATAGTGTAAAGAATATAATCTAATGAATATGAGAGCTTGTAATATGAGAACCAGCATTGTTCTCTTCCACATTTTGAAATAAATTTGCAGGTAAAACTGCAGACAACTGATCCACACAACTTTCTTTTTTTTTTTTTTTTATTTTTCTTTTTATTTACACTTTGCCTGTACTTAAGGCTTAAGAAAGCATACTATAGAAACTCCAAAATGATGGCAAAAAACCCCACGCAAACAACAACACCTGGAGGCTCAAATCTACCAGCAAGTGAAAAAAAGCTAGGATATATGGATTAAATACCAGGATAAAAGAGTAATTTGCTTTCTTATGCTTGTCATTCTTATTTCGAAGAAACGCCAAAACTTGAAATTTCCCGCTAACAATATCTGCAGAATCAATTATCATTGGATTTAATATGCCTTGCCTATACAAACTATCACTAAATGCAGCTCAGTAATATTATTGTATATTAACCATATGAAGATCTTCTTGAATTTCTTGAAGTCCTTAAAGGACATTAGACTCATGCTTATAGATTTTTCAGATATGAAAGAAACAAAATCAGCTTCATTATGAAGCAGTGGCTATAGTGAACTTAATCATCAACCACATAGAAAAGGTGCAGCGTTGGCTGTTACTCAGTCTTTATTGACAGAAATGTTTCATTTTTTCCCTCCACAAGTATATTAAAGTATATGAAAAAAAATAATTAGAGTACAATAAAGTCATTGCAATTCTAAATGTATTGAGATTGAAGAATGCTGAATGTGGTTAAGTAATATCTGATGCTGTTACACCAAGAGATAGGAGTATGTTGCTCCCCATCATGGGAAACCATGGTGTTTCTCCAGTTGTAGTGCTGAAAGGTGGATCAGATGGGTTCCACAGAATATTTGTGAACAGGGAGTCAGCATGGGGAACTAATCCTAACTCTACAACATTTCAACAATGTTCAAAAATTTACTTACAACATTCGATGTCAGGAACAAATATAATTTAAATGGAGCTACCAAAAAACCCCACTCTCAAATAGTTGTAATTAATTCTTCTTTGAATCTCTATTGGACAGTCAGAATGATGGGCCACCAGGGAAGAAGGAATTAGTACCAAGATTTCAAATACTGTCTACTTTCATGTGGCAAAGGTAGTCTTAACATCAGCAAGTCCATTTTCAGAAGAGCCAAGGAGCATCAGGAACATCGTTCCCCTTCCATGGCCAAAGCCCTGTGGATTTTCTGCAGCAGAATTCCTCTGGTCAAACTTTTCATGACAGAAACACCTCAACGCTATTTAGATTTCTCATGAAAGTTCATGTTGAACAGTGTGTATGTATGCCATCTGAGAAATACCTGTCTTTTACTATTTGAACTATCTAGTAAAACAGATCAATGAAATTAAAATTACTGATAAAAACATCATCAAATTTTCTTGTCCTCAGTCATCTCAAAATCTCCACTATTCTCTTTATAAAAGTGGTTTTTAAATTCACTAGATTGCTCCATTGCAGGAACAGGTTGAGCTCATCATCTAATGTCACAAGTTAGGAATTGTCAGAGCTGAATGTAGGCAGCCCATCTTGTTCACAGCCTGAGCTGCTGGCCCAGGGGTGAGCATGAATCTGGAAGATGTCTAAATGTGTTGATAAAAGACTGCACCAAAAGCCCAAATTCATGCTCACTGTCTAGAATATGTAGGGATAATAATTTGTTGACATTAATTTGTGACTGTTTCCACCTGATTAATGGATATTTATAAAAGGTAGGTATCCCATTGTTTAAGGGGCCCAGCCTGTGTTTTAGATGCCCAAGGAACTTCTAAAATTCTAGACAAAACTGACTTACACAGAAGACACTACAAGATGGTAAGAGAATCAGAACCCAAAATCGGAAACTTTGTTCCAATGGTTTGAATACTGGGCTGCAGAGCCATAACACAGAGGCTGCTCTCACTGAGCAACAGATGAACTCCAGGTATCATGTTAAAGTAAAAAAGGAAATTTCTGAGACAAATGCCTTTTTTTTTTATTAAGAGTTAAGCAGCTCTTGGCATCAAGCTCAGAGTCCAGGGAGCTCGATTTTGACCCAATGTTATAACATTTAACAAATTTTAAGACCAAACTGAATTTTTTTTCGATTTTATCAACCCTGCTGATACAACAGGTTCAGTTAAAATTAGAATAAATTCTTGTTTTGACCCTTAAACTCACTAAAGTAAATGTGAGGACTAATTAAAATATATAAGAGCACTTCTTGTCTTATTTTGGGTGTGTTCTTCCTGACATGATCAAATTCCATCATGTCAAATTCATGATCATGTCACATGACAATTATAATATACTTATTTCATAAGTACATCATGCAATAGTATGCAAAATAAATATTAATGCCTTTCTAAGAATAAATGAATATGATGACAGAATACTCTTAAACACAACTGGCTCCCTGCTGTAAGGAAACATGAAGAATTCCTCCTTCTCTCATTTCTTCAGCAATTCATGTGGGAAACATTTGGAACTGCCACTTGTTCATAAGAGGACAGTGGATTGGGCAAAACAAGTTTGAATTTATAATGTTTACTCGGCATATGCAGAAGAGAGTAGCTCAGAGATTTAAGTTCATAAGAAAATAAAATATATAATTCATTTTACTTACACATTAGTGGTAAAAATTCCATAGATTAAGTCCAATTCCGGCAGGAAGAAAGTGCTCTGAAGTTCATTATAGTAAAATGGAATTTCTCCAGGGCGAGAGCAGTTCAGACGAGCTTTCATGAAGGTAGTCCAGGTATCCTCCAGCACAAATTTGCCACCAATATCATTTTTGCACACCCGAGCAGCACGAGAGAATACCGTTTTCCCACAGTCATGTTCCACCGCATTCTCCCGGAAGAAGAAGTAAGTAAAGTTCCCAATGTCATAAGATGATACAAAATTTGGCTCTGAAAATAACAGAAGAAAAGATCATTTATCACCTTCTTGTGATATATGCGCTTACATTAACATGGAAGTTGGATTTATCTTCAAATATTAGATTTAGAAAAACACACTTTTTATTATCCTTTAGGGAATTGGCACAATGACATCTGAACAGGACAATTCATGTCCAGCCACGATTATAAGCTACATGATCATGGTGTGCTGAGTTTGGCTGGGTAGAGTTAATTTTTTTTCACGGGAGCTAGCATGGCACTATGTTTTGGATTTATGCTGGAAACAGTGTTGATAATTAGGGGATGTTTCTGTTATTGTTGAGCAGCACTTACACAGAGCCAAGGTCTTTTGTTTCTTACACCACCCCAACTGCACAAAAAGCCTGCTGAGTTGCCAGCTGGGGTTAAACCACAACATGTGGCATGACAGACTCTCTGCTCTTACAGGTCTGTAGAACATGACTCTGCTGGACAACCTTGGCCCAGCTTGCTGTGCTTGCTGTATTCTACCATCAAAAATGTCACTGAATTCCTCTTCTCTACATATGGGCATAGTGTATTTTTGCAATGTAACTGTTTTATCAGTTAACTCTGTTTCTGCTTTACCAACATGCCGTTACTCCAGGTTAGGAGAATAATGGGCGCTAACTGATTGTGAGTGAAAATGTACTCAGAGGATGTAATGAAAAGAGAACTACACAAAAACATTTTATGGAAAGATAGCTGCATTTCAACCCTATCTTGCTTAAAGCTTTTGATAGTATTACAGTATTTTTTTTTCTTTCTTAAAAAAAAAAACCAAACTGATGGTGATGAAGGAGAAATCAGAGAATATGTAAAAAAATAATCTGGAAAACAACAGATGGCAATATTTCTTAAAAGAAAAAAAAAAGGAAATAGTAAATACCAAAGACAATAAACATGTGGTCCATTTCCTGTAAGGTTTACTAGAACTGAGGAAAGTCCATGACCTTAAGACAAATTGGCAAACTGATGAGTTATTAAAGGAAAGACAAATTTGATACACAGATTTGTCAAGAAGAGCCCTCTTTGTGTAAGGAACCATTATAGAACACTGATACCAGCGAGAAACAAGCAAACTTTTTATTCGCATTCCCAAATTGGATTCTAAAATGGGAAAAAACAAATAAGCACAACTGTTTTTAAAACATCTATTGGGAGGAAACACTCCAAAGAAATTTAATAGGTGAATATTTCTTGACAGCACTATTGTATAGGAAAAAGCTGCTGCAATTAGGTCTAAGCATTTTACAGGAATAGCTCAAACCTGTCAGAAGTTTTGAGGGGTGTTAGAAAGGGAAGCAAGCTGGCCTTTCCACACTGCATTCCAAACTCTGTTAGAAAACTCTTCTCCAAAGACAGCCCAGCTCCCAGCTCTTGTGGCCTCTTGTGCTGCTTCCCTCTCTACCTGCTGTGCTGAGTCTCCAAGGCAGGTTTTTTGGCAGCAATTATCAGCCACCTAGGATGTTTGAAGCTGAGCAGATACAATAGTGCTCTCACTCCTCCCTGTAACTTTCATTCATTATATCAAGTACTTCCTTGGGATTAGTATGTAACATACCACATTTTCCCCACACTCTAATCTGCACAGGTTTGATAGGACTTGTGATAGCATTAAAGATAAAACTGGATTGACAATATGACAATATACAAAGAACTAAACTACTAAACTATTAGTAATGTTATCCTTATTAGAACCTCATATCTTCACATCTGTGTCAAACTTTCATTACAATAGGGATTTTGCTTCAAGGGCTTCAAAAACCTTTAAATTATATATAATCTAGAATATGTAGTTTGGTAGAAATAATTCTTAGTTGCTCATGAGCTCTTATTCTTTAAACATAAAATTTACTGTTGTAACACACAGACTGAACACTCAAATTGTAGAAAGCTGAAAAAAAAGACATTTTTTAACTTTGTTAATTTTTTTTTCTCTAGAAACATGCAATTTTCTGAATAGGTAACTGGGTAGAAAGACATCTAAGATTTAATTAAAAGTATTAAGACTAAGATGACAAAAATATGTGGCTAAAAATCCCAAAATTGTATGCTATCACATTCTAGTCAGGTTAGACAGTTTTGACAGGCATCAAATACTAAGCATATAACCAGAGATACTTGAACGCAAAGGTTTTTTTCATGTTATAAATCCCAATTATGTGTCATTCATTCTCAATACGCATCAACGTTTGAAGCTTTGTGTAACAAACTTATATTTACTTAACTAAAATACACTAGGAAAAAAATAATTTTAGAAATACCAGACTAACAAAAAACTCCAAAAATCCAAAAGAAAAAAAAACACTTTCCCTTATTATCCATCTTGTTATTCAATTATATTTATACAACACAAACACCTACCCATTATTTCTCTTATCTGAGATGTACTTTCTTTCCTCGTTCTACACAATATCCTTTCAGATTGGTCTTACAGTCATAAAAATAACTACTGTCTGCGGAGGAAAGAAAAAGCATTCACTAGTCTCAGTGTAACTTGGGCTACCTGTCCACATACTAAGTATGTGTCTTACGTAAAGCAATATCAACTAAAGGTAGAAACCAAGAAAAACAATAGATCTGAAATAGCATTAAAAAAGTAAATATTTCTGACTATATGTTTGACCTTTGGTAGCCAATAGCCCTGCTTGGTCTTTCAGATTATCTCAGAAATATCTTGACTGATGTAAAAAGATTCTACTTACTGTGCAAATACTCAAAATCAATCTGATCCTCCCACAAAAATATTTTGTTTCAAGTATTAGACAAGGAGGCCCTTTCTTGCAATCAGGCCTGAAGATACTTCTCACTGGAGGCCCACTGATATAAAAAGGTCTCTACATTGGCACAATAGGATCTCACTGCAGAGTAAAAAAAAAACACTACGGGAAGCACTCAGTGTGGAGAATGATGAATGACCAAAAAAAGGAACTTCACAAAATGTAAGAATAAAAGTAATGTGGCATGCTTTAGAATGTTTCTGGGGTTCTTGAAAGCCCATGCCAATCTTTCAAAAGACAGTATTTTAAAGTTGCACTGATAATCATGATACACATATAAAAAATACCTAGTACTCATATTTCATGGATTCAAAACTAAGAAACAATATATACATCTGCAAACACCTATGTATATACTTTATTGATTAAAAACTGATGAAAATGTGACCTGCTGTTGAAATTTGTGAAAACTGCTTTTATTTGCATGAAATGTAATAATCTGAAAGTTACCTCAGGGAATTCAGCGGATATGGAAGGATTATCAGGTCAGACTTTATTTATTTCATTCCCTCTTTGGGAGAAAGGAACCGGATCACTTCAAAACTTTAAAGGAAAAAAGAACTTCTCATCTAAGAAAAATCAGTTCTTATGTGTCCAATATTGTTCTGTGAACTGCTGTTTGCAGACATGGAGGCCTTCCCATAAAAGCTTTTAATGCAGCAAATGAAGTGACTCTCTTGTTTCCTGCTGATTTTGCAAATAGTTCTGGAAGGGTAAACACACCTCATTTCTGAATTATTAGATCACCACAACAAGTGCAAGGATTCTGGTATGTGACAGGATACAGCTAGTATGGGAATGTCAACCTGTAATAACGTCACAAGTATTGTATATGACCTTTATAGGTTTTTATATACTCAATTTATGGCTGTGTCAGGCTAACTAGACTTTCCCAAATTAAATGAAACCAATGGAATCAGGAAAGCAAGAAAATGAGTTTGTCAGTGTGACCTAACAAAGATCACCACAGTACAGCATGAAGCAGTGCTACACAGAGACACAAGCCCATGCATTGAAAGCACTGGGTGGCTAGTTAGTGCTGCCTCTGGGCAAAGAGACTAGTGTGGCATTTCATAAATCTGCTTACTCAGCACAGAATTCCTTCATAAAGCAGTATGAATGCCCTGTAAGGATGTTTCCACACAGACTCTTCTAAGTTATGACTTAGAAAAAGAAAACTCATATGAAGTCAAGACAGTGCTTCCATCTAAAATAATCTGATTGTTTTTCTGAAGTGTGGAGAAAAACCTACATTTTCTGGGGAGCACAGTCTTTGTTCTTAATGGGAAGGCTTTACTAGGAATGATTCCCTTTAGATTATTTTTCCTTTCCACTCACCCAGAGAACCTGGAAACCAGAGAGACCAAATCCATACTCACTGCCAGAGCAGTCACAAGTTGATGCTGTCTGACTGTGCCAACTGCTCCCATAGGGACTGGCTGCAGCTCTGCCATGCAGCACGTGCTGATGCTGCACCCCAGACAATTATATTCTTATGGCATGAAAGTAATGGTGCATTGCACTGGGAAGCAGTGTAGGGACAGACTGGGGGATTTGGGAATGCAATTTACTGGGAATAGGATGGGGCTCTCTGAGAGGCGGCAGAAGACAAATGGTACAGCTCCATCTGTACAGACTCTTGATAATGGTATGTAAAGCAAACTTCTCCCTGAGTCACACCCAGGTTTTCACTGGGAAAACAGTAGCTGGAGGGATCTAAACAAGTCTGGGAAGTGAGCCAACAATTAAGCAATACAGATGTCTAAAGGTGTCATACATAAGCTTATTTCCCAGACCTTTTTTATTTAGCAGTGTAGAAGCACTCTGAGCGGGTAAAAGGATGAGAGGAACTGTACAGGAACTTCTTCTGTGTAAAGAAATTGGAAACAGGAACCTAAAATTTCTCCATGAGAGCATCTGAGGTAGTCCTGGCCTATTCTCACTGTCTGAGCTTTGAAGCAAGGAAGTTTGCTTGTGTATTTTTAATCCATATAACCCCTCAACCTCTGAAGCACACTAAGATGACTTAATTTACATAGTTAGTGCATATTTCTGTTTCCAGAGTGAACCAAATGACATGAATGAACTGTCTTAATTTATGGAGGTAACAGCAATTAACCTTAAGGATTACAAGGTCCAAAACTTACTCTAAGCAAGAAAGAGCTGTGATTTCCAAGACTGTGTTTGTGAGATGTGACCACTCACTTC